TATAGAAGACTTTTAATATGTATCGAGTGTATCACTCAGGAAGAAACCAAATTTGTTCTAGGTGGTTCAAATGAAGAGATCTGAATGAAAGCCCTACTTGTTGAGGTCTCCATTAAGGAGCTACATCAGGAATGTTGCTGCATCCAAAAACAAGCACCAGCTGGAGGTGTGGAATAGAAGCTGCCTAGCAGGAGCTGGAGTTGCAGAGAGACACATTGCCAAGTCAGCACCAGAGCAGGAGAGGTGTAGGGGAAAACACTCCGCCATTCCTTGCTCCTATTTACCCACTTCTGGCCAGAGTGTCCCATTAGCTATACCATGTGGATGCCAGGAAGAGATCCTGGGCCACTCAGCCCACAGGGTGAGCCTCTCAGGCACACAGGAGGGCAGCGAAGAGTGAACAAGGGATATGGGGAGTGGGAACAGCAAAAGACAAGGGGATAGAACCACCTGAGACACTATTGTGAGAAGAATGACAAAAGGACCGTCACACAGGAAGGCTGGCAAGCGTCATACGTCAGCCCGCCCTACAGTGTGCCCATGGTGGCTAAATTAGCAAGCGTAGTGAACACTAAATACAATTAATCATATAGTTTTTAGCTGGCCAAGTTTAATTATACCAGAATTAGATAGCAAGACTGGGATCCTCAGTTTCTTACCAACAGAAAGAGAATCTCTACCTTGTCAGCCTGTTATGAACTCTACATGAGATGACTCTGTGGAGTGCCTAACACAGGGCCCAGAGCCAACAGGCATCTGAACACAATTTGTTGCTATTTTTATGATCCCATGGGTCATCTCACTGTTAACAATGTTACAAATAGAACTTGCTTCTGCTGGGTTTTCCATCATTTGGCCCACAATTGGCCAGTTCTAGAAAGTTCCAACCTCAGCTAGAATATTCAGCTTCTGTTTCAGCATAGGAACCTGACAAACACATAACACTCCTGGCTGCATGGTAGTTTACAGATATAAAGTACTTTCACAATTGTTATTATTAACAATACTTACAGAGTACCTATGTTTTAAGAAAAAGAATTTGAGACCGAAAGATATACAGCTCAGATTTTTTTTTTTTTTACTCTAAATACATCATAATTGTCTGGCTTTTTATCTACCATTAAGTTCCATGTCAGGATATATTTTAGAGTCTATCAAAAAGTTAATGCTGACTTTAAGCTTAATCAAGTTCTCTTCATGAACTCATATCACAAGTCATTTCCACGGCTTATTTTATCTTTTATTGAAAAAAAAAAAAACTGTTGAGATCTTGGCCCATGATTGTTTCTTTGTTTTATCAGGAGAGATATAGTCTCAGGACAAATAAGTCTCTCCGTGGAGTTGTGCCAATCTCACGCAACCCAAAATACTGCCTTCTCGGCTCTGGGGACACTCATGAATCCCCTGTCCCTTCTATCATATCGTTACCCTGCAGATGTGCCAAACTGGAATCCTTCCATCCTGTCTCATTCTAGATAAAGGGACCTTCCTGGGCATGAAATTCTTGAAAGGAAAGACCCACACACTCTCTTCTCCCCTGTTGCTCCCTCAAAGAAATTAAATGAAACCTGAGGGGTGGGGAAGTGAGATAAGAAAAAGCAAATATTTCCCAAGCTTTTTAAAGCATTAAATTATGGTGTATTTATCTCTGCCAATTCACACACCATCTATGTATGAATTGACACTGAAAAGCCAATGGTTGGAATAGGGGCCCTTGCAAATGATGGCGCTCTGTGACTTAGATGGCTCTTATTCTCACTACCAGAAAAAAAAAGAAATAAAAGGGGACCAGACTTGGAATATGTTATTGAAAGATAATGCTTTAGAGCTAGGCCTGTAGCTTGTCTAGGATGCATGGGGCCCTGGGTTCAATTGCCAGCACTGCAGAAGTTAAAAATGATGTTTTAAATTCAGGCCCCTTGACTGGTGGGGCTGGAGCCTCAAGCTATGTGAGATAGGATGTGGCAAAGTCATTCAGTCAGGCTGCTCTGGGAGGAAGTGGGGCACAGTGGTTTTGAGCAGAGCTTTGGAGTCACACAGACCTGATTGAGACTCCTGGTAACTGCCACTCACCTGCAGTGTGGCTTAGATTTGTTTCATTAATAGGCTGAGCCTCTGTTTCCTTGTATAAGAGGAGATTCATTATAATGTGAGCCATCTACACCCATGTGGTGTGATCATGACATTCAAATGTTAAACACAGCACCCAGCACATCCAAAGCAATCCAGAAACTTGAACTATTAGGATGCTCCCGGTTTTCTCGTCACTCAGTCTAATTCCATCACACAAGATTCTACTGCCCCCATTTAACTAGTCAGTTATAAAGTAAGACATAATGGCATTGCTGTGGATGGAATATTTATGTTCCCCCCAAATCCATGTGTGGAAGCCCAATCCCCAATGTGATAGCATTAGGAGGTGGATCCTTAGTGCTCTTATAAGAAGAGACAGGTGGGAACACAGCAAGAAGATTACCATCTGCAAACCAGGAATATTGGCCTCACCAGAACCCAGCCATACTGGCACCCGATCTCAGACTCCCCACCTCCAAACTATAAGACAAAAACTTTTGTAATTTAAGTCACACCACATGTGGTATTTCATGATAGCAGCCCCGACTGAATGAGTTTCTTGACCACTCAAATCAATTCTTTCATGTAAACAAGAGCATATTCACTTTTCTGATTTGGAATAGTAAAGAATGGACATAACAATAGTCTACAGAAAGGTACCACAAGTATTGAAGTGCAAGAAACATTTGCCTTCCTGCAGGCCAGCAAAAATAAATATGTGCTCATGTAGAACATGCATTAACCTGGATTCCACCCAAATGAACTGTTTTCACCTCTCGCCCCTTCGAGCTGGTGAGGGTCTGCTTCCTTCTCATCAACTTCTCCATAGTACAAAAGCCCAAATTCTGTGTTTCTCCAGTTCAGTTCAACACAACTATATTTAACTCCTGTTCTTCCCTATGCTAGGCCTTGGGGTCACAGAGATGATAGGAGGTGGCACTGCCTTCAAGAACATGTAACCCAGCAGGGACGACAGACACTGCCTGGCTCAACTTCTATCAGGTTCCCACTGAGGAGGGTTCAAGCCTAGAGTCTTCTCCAAGCAGTAGGCACAGGCCTGGTCTGTGTGTCCTCGCCTAGATAACAGCAAAGCCATTTGTGCCCTCCCTAACCTGCCCTTCCTCCTCTGCTGGAGGAACCATACAAAGGTGATGCAGAGGCAAGGATAAGCTGCAGGACTGGAGGGATGAGACGGGTTGAAGGCAGATCCTTAATCCCAAAGAATCGAGGCAACCCTCCCACCAGAGACTAAGACGCAGGTCCCAGCCTTTTACTGCATGTGGGTGAGAGGAGAGAGAGAGAGGAGAGAGAGGAGAGAGACGAGGAGAAAGCAGTGTGGGGTGAGAACAGATTTGATTTTCAACTCTGGTTATAGCTATACAGAATTGGCCAAATAAGGCAACAGAATGCTGTGACTATAATAATAGTCACTCACCCAGCTGCTGCCTTACCTGTGATGTGTAATAGCCTGTGGCACCAGAATAATGAGGTACTGCACATAAATAAGTACTACCCTAAATGTGGTTCAGGTGACTCTCAGTTTTATTTGATTGAGGCAGAAAATGACATATCTGGGTATAGTAAATTATATAGCTTCACAATTTCTTCAAGTTACATAGAATTCTATTCAAAGTTTTAACAGATAAACAACATCATGCTTTTAAGCTATTAGATAGAATAGGGGTTTAGGGGTGTGTGTGTGTTCATCCCTATTTATTTAGTATTATCCCTGGTAACTCTTAACAAAGAGTAATTACCTGAGCAATTTCTTCACAGCTGTGCTTGTGATTTATTGGTTTGGATTTTTCACTCAAGAATTTATATTCATGAAATAGTAAAAGCTATGAATTCTACCTTTTCTCCTTGCACACACCTATACAGGCACTTTCTCAATTATTCAGAATTCATAAAATTCATAAAGTATGTTGTCATGCCAGGCAGTTTAGAGTTGGAAAACAAGTTTGTCAAATGAACCACCAAGCAGAACTTCATGCCTGCCTGCTTTCACAAGACCTTCAGCCACTCAGAGCCACCATGTCACAAGTGACAGGCAAAGAGCAGAGGTCCCTGAAGTGAGCATGAGCTCTCACTCCTGTTCCACGTCCTGCTGCCATTGTCTGGAGCAGTGTGATTCCCTGCCCGAAGCATTTCCCTTCCAAGGGACCTGGGGAACGAACGACTGAGGAGAACTTAGTGCACAACTGGGGTTCTTTGGGTGGAAGGTAAGATGGCATATAAGAAATGCTTTTTTACAATTACAATGAAATACGGTGGTAACTGTGGAAAATCATCAGGCGAGTAGGGACATATGTTTATGGAACCGTATTCTATATACAACTCTAAATAACAGGTAAGTGGTAAATGGATTACAAGAATCAGTTAATGGTCATTTTAAAATTCGATGACCTAGGAAAATCCAGCAGGCAAGTGGTTTTTTTGACGGAACTACTGATTCAGGTTATAGTGTTAAAAACAATAACACTATAAACATATGGCGAAGCCCTATGAGGTTATTTCATTCATACAGCAGTTTGTAAGTAAGTAGGAAAAGACTTCCCAAGTGTGAAAACTAATTATATACCAGAGCTGCATGGTTTGTTATTATTTAAATAAAGTGTGTCTTTAATTATGGAATGCTTGGAAAACTCCATTGTCCAAAATCATGAAGGATGTTTTAGTTTTTTTAATTGAAGATGAACTATCCATTACAGCTTCCCAAGGAGTTTGTTTCTCTGATCATATTGTGCGAGGTGTTGGTTTGTAGTTAGTGAAAACAACCACGGGCTCAGTCTCAACAGCTGTATCCAACAGGACGGGCTGCTGGGGGGTGCCTGGAATCAGCACCGACCTTCCCATCTTGCCTGCTTCCCCCCTTCCCATCGTTCTTTGGCATGTGTTCCTGAGTGTTGGGTGAAGTGTCCTGGGAATTAGAAGATCTTGCACTCGATGGAGAAGAGCCTCCTTCTGTTTCGTCGCCTGGCCTGGTTGACGGCAGTCCGGACAGCACACTCAAACACCTGCTGCACTCCCCGGTTGCTGAGGGCTGAGCACTCCAGGTAGCCCTTGGCTCGCACATCCTGGGCCAGTTTCTTCCCTTCTATGGCATTGATGCAGGAGGCCCTGTGGGGCCCCACTTCCCGCTGGTCGGTCTGGGTGGCCACCACCAGCACCGGGGTACAGGGCAGGTTGCTCCTGATTTCACCAATCCACTTGTTCTTCAAGTTCAAGAACGAGTTATGGTTGGCCACGGAATAGCACATCAGCACCACGTCAGCCTGCTGGTAGGACAGGGGGCGGATGCTTCTGAAGGCATCATTGCCAGCAGTGTCCCAGAGGCCCAGGCTGATCTGGATGCCATCCATGAAGACGTCCACACCCGTGTTCTCGTACACCGTGGGCTTATAGGCCTCAGGGAAGGTCTCGGAGGTGAAACGCACCAACAGGGAGGTTTTCCCCACAGCGCTGTCGCCCACCAACACGCACTTGATGGAACTCAGCATCTTCCCAGACTGGAGTCCCGTGCTCAAACCCTGAATCCCCAGGAAAGGAGCCCTCAGTGGGTTGCCGCAGCGAATGCCATTCAGCAAAGGGACCAAAGACCAGGTGGGCTTGTGTTCTCAGGGTGTCTGGCAGCAATCTGCAGATGTTATTTCTCCCCGTCCATCCAGGGGAGAGACACCATGTACGTGGAAAACTTCCAAGCCTCGTCTCCAACTAGAACAGAAAGAGAAGAGGGGGAAATTGAGTCTTTTTGTGTGTCATGATGACCGGGAGCTTTCTGAATGGCAAGCTGATGGAATGGGGGGCTCATCTCAGGGCAACTTCCCAACCCCACTGTCCAACCCCACTGTCCAGCCCCACTTCCCCCTGAGCTAAGTCAGATAAGACCTGTTCTTCTTCCACACTGGCACCCACAAGGCCTCCTGATCAAGAAGCAGAAGCTGATTGTATCTTTAACATCAGCCTAGTGATGGAAGCCCAAGCAACTGCTCTGAGCACCACATGTAAAAGCCTCGGTAGCAACCTGGTGTGTGAATGCCGCACTCCCAAGCAGGTGGCTGCTCCGCGAAGTGACCAAGGCAAGCACGCTCTCCCCGGCTTCGGTTTCTGGTGGATTCCAGACCCTTTGGGAACTGCAAGAAAGAGAACTGTGATGAGCAATGGATGCTAAGTGCATTTGCTTCATTGGTTAATCATCCAGTCCTTGGCTAGGTGGGAGTTCGAGTTGAGGCAAGAAAAAATAAATCACTAGAAGCCGGGTGTGGTGGCCTACACCTGTAATCCCAGGGTTCTGGAGGCTGAGGCAGGAGTATTGCAAGTTCAAAGCCAGCCTCAGCAATTTAGTGAGGCCTAAGCAACTTAGCAAGACCCTGTCCTCCCACCTCCACCCCCAAAAAAGGGTTGGGGGTGGGGATGTGGTTCAGTAGTTAAGTGCTCTTGGGTTCAATCCCCAGTATCCCCCCCCCCAAAAAAAAAATCACTAGAAATCTAACAATTTGCTGTAGTTTTCCCCTTGAGACTTTGCCCAAAACTGGCTACAGATGGAATAAAATGTCGCTGGAGTTTTCTGCACCAGAAATCAGGCTCCATTATCTCCACAAGGACATGGCTTTTTTAGCACGTTGCCTGGACTCTGAGCCTCAGTTTACATGTCTGTAAGAATGTGATAAATTTAGGAACCATTTCTCAGAGATGTTGTGAGAATTAAATTAGTTCTTTCTTCAACAGTCTCATGTTTTCAGATTTCTACAGACCTTTCCCCACACACACACTCCAATCTTTTTGAACGGCCATTAGGAATTATATGACGTCCCTGGTTAAACAAAATTACCTTATTCAGTGCCTGTCAAACAGGGCTGCGAAAGTGAAGGACACAATCTGAATTTTATGAAAGGACCAAAAAAACTCTCATTTGCTTGCAGGTGAGAGAGCTCCTAGCAATGAGCTCAGTCTTGGAGACAGTGTCCCATCTGCCAGGCACATTATCACAAGGCCAGACCAACATTTCAGACAAAGGAAAGGTCTCACAGATCAAAATTCAGAGATAAGGTTGTTGTTGCAGTCTGGCCTTACAACCCTCCCCATCAGTCATCTTCACAGCCAGACAATATTCAAAAATCGCTCCTTGAAACCCTGAAGTTCCCTTCCAAGATACTTTTATCCTTGTCAATTCAGTTTCTATCTGTTTAATTATACATAATAGAATTTTCAAGTGAGTTAGTCAAATACATAATGCACGTGAATTCATGTTTTTTTTTTTTTTAAACTATTCATTTGAAATGTCAACTCTTGAATGGCCACAGTATAGGAGCTGGGATACCACATGTTCAGCTGGGCCCTTTCTGAAGACATTCATGGGTGGCTTTCATGCACAGTGGTCCTGAGAAATACCAATTTGTCACCAGACTTTTGAGAAATGGTGACTTTTAAGACGTTAGCTTCTTAGACCTCAGAACAACTTAAATATACACATGTGACTTAGTCCAGAGCCAGAAGTCTTAAGACTTCTTTAGGGGCTGCGGATGTGGCTCAGTGGTACAGTGCTTGCCTAGCATGTGTGAGGCCCTGGGTTCTGTGACCAGCACTGAAAGGGGGGAGGGGGGCACATTTTAAATTTTCCTTTGACCCCAATGCAGCAGACTGGAATTTTTTTTTTTTAAACGTGCATGTGTCAAACTTCTGGTTATTTTAAATAAAATCTTCTTAATAGGTTAATTAAGCTAAAGCCAGATTTCCTGAGTGACTACCTGTGAAAGGATGTTAAGGAGGCATAATATTAATTACAGGGGCTTAAAAGTCAGGTAGCCTTGGAACTGAACCTGAGCTGCCACGTGTGTGGCAACCTCAGAAGAGTTTCCTAGCCTTGGTTTCCTCTTCTGCAAAAGCAGTGCAGAAATATCCACATCACAGGGTTGTCGAGAGTATTCAGCATGCCTAAAGGTATAATAAAATCTTAGTGCAGCATATCATGCAAACACCTGTGTGTGCATAGTAAACACACAGCAAACGCTAAGTGTCATGATTAGTAACATTGTTAAATAATGATTACTAAATGTAAACAATTACTAATTAAAATGTGAAACTTGAACTGGCACTAGAAATGCTTCTCCAGCAAAGGGTGCTGGGTGTATCTTCTTCCCAGACCTGACTACAAAAGAGAGAGAAGTTTCTTCTTATAGCATAAAAATAAAATCCTATGGGAACCAAGAGATTCCTGTCTGAGCTTTGCCACCAGAGAACTCCAAAGCACCCAACGAAAAAAGGGCTCTGTTCAGTCAAAGGGCCTTCCCACATTAGCCTAGTGACACCGAGTGGCACACGGAGTCAGTTTTGAAGGCCTCAGTTTCCCACACTGTTAAGTTCTTTGATGACATGAGCTTTCTTGGAGGTTCTATTAAGACTGAAGCCACAGAAGCCTGCCACAGTGACCATGAGAACTTAAGCCCACTGTGTTATGGGTTGCAGTAAGATGAATGCTAAACCTTGATGACCAGCACAGCCTTCAGCAGATGGCCAAACACAGAGCTGGGGGTGGGGGAGGACGTGGCAGCTCACACTCAACACCCTACAGAGGCTTGGAATCTGCTCTTCAGAGCGTCCTGAGTACCCTCAGGTGAGCCACTGCAGACCACACCATCAGTGTGAGGTCAAGGGGCTGGATCGAAGTGAACTCTCTCGTCAAGGGAGCAATTCTGCTTTCACTGAGTGGTTTCTGGTGGTGTCTCACAAGCAGTGGCCTGGCAGAGTCCAGCCGTACCTCTCTCCACATGGCACTTCCTGGGTGTCGGATAGCATTAGAGTAGTACACAGAGTGGCCCTTTAGGCTGCTCCTCCCAGGGCTCCAGTCAGACTGGAATTAACGAACCTTGGACCCAAGCACCTCTGAGCCCTAAGGACTGGGTTCTTCTTGCCCTTTCTCCTTTTTCCACCGTTTTCACAGAAAGGACGCCTTCTTCAGGCTAGATGGTTCAGACAGACACGGAAGGGAGGCTTTCCATCGCCAAACCAAGGCACGGGGCCCTCTGTCCACTCTGGCAAAGGGACAAAGACAGGCCAGAGGAAGGGCTTAGGGAATGAGGGGTCCCAGTCCACTTCCTCTGAGAACTGTCCAGGAGGACACCCTGGCCTCACTTTAGCCTCAGTTGTCATCCCGTGCCGACAGACACCACCCTTCCCCACAGCCACTCTGTGCTATTCACCAGAAAACCCCTGCACCCCGTTCACCCCCAACTTCCACCCCTTCTCCAAAGTCTTCCTCTACCATCCTCCACTTCGCCAGATGCCCCCACTGTGTCCCCATAATTCCCTGTGGGCCTCGGCATCAAAATCATCGCACTTGGGCTGGGGATGTAGTTCAGGGACAGATCACTTGCCGAGTATGTGTGAAGTCCTAGGTTCAACCCCAGTACCTCAATTTTTAAAAAAGCATCAAAAACATCACACTCTGCTGAAACGGTTGGTTTTCTCCTGTTTAATTCTCACTTGTAAAACTGGAATAAGATCTGCCCTACTCTACACAGGGAGTTTGTTTTAGGAGAATTATAGAGCATAATATATCATGGCTCAAAGTGAAAGTATGATTATTGCTACCATTATTGCAGGTTTTAGGGTAACTGGTCGTCCATGGTGGTGGGGTTATTTTTGTTTTTGGGGGGGTTTTGTTTGTTTGTTTGTTTGTTGTTTGTTTGTTTGTTTCAGCACTAAGGACTGAACTCAGGGTCTAATGCATGCCAGATAAGAGCTCTACCACCGAGCCACATCTCCAGGCCCCTCGGGTATCCTTTTCAAAAAACATGAACCCACAGCAGCCATTAACCAGGGATGGCCTGTCAATTACAGAGAATACATCTAAATGGCACCTTCTTCAAAGAGCTTTGAACAAAGGACCCACATTGACAGTAGCCAATTCATTCATTAAGGAAATTGATTCTGCAAGGAATCTAATCATCTTAGGTGACCAGGCAGTCAGCATGCTGTTCAGCAACTCAGCTCCACCCTGTGCCCTTCATCGGTGGCCCACCACAGCTGAGCAGGGCCACTAAAGCTGCATCAGGCCTTGCCTGGAATGGGTGAACCCACAGGGAGCCCTTGGACCACCAAGGGGTCTGGGTGCTTGGTTTTCATTTATTTTCTTGAGAGAAAGGGAAGCGATTCAAAATACCTTAAGCAGCTTAACAGAAAAAATAGTTTACTGTCTCTTAGATCAATGCCTGCTGGTGAGCCAGAGAGACTTCTGGTGTGCCAAGGGACTTCTGCCTGATGGCAAGGTTATCCCTGTTCTCAACAAATGGAAAGGGAAGACAAGTGGCAGAAAGGAGTCTCGCCCATCTACAAATGTTGACTTGAAACGTTGAGCTAGCAAAGTGTTCTCTTCTATGTTCTTTATAACAATAAAACTTTATCTAAGAAATCCCAGCTGCTTGGGAGGCCTGAGATAGAAAGATCACAAGTTCCAGGCCAGCCTCAGCAACTTAGTAAAACCTACACAACTTTGTGAGACCCTGTCTCAAAATAAAAAATAAAAAAAGACTGGGGATGTGGCTCGGTGGTGAAGTGTGCCTGGGTTCAACCCACAAGACTTTTCTTTAATCTTAATCTGACAGTAATGTTGATGTATTTATAAGTGAAATGAATTTGATGGCTGGGATGTGTTTGATATTATTAGAGAAAACCACAGCAGTAAGGGCAAAAGATGAATAAGATTGGGG